CCCCCCCCCCCCCCCCCCATGAGCGAGAGGCGATACCAAGACTCCAGAGGTCGCAGGCCTCACCCGGCGGTTCGGAAGTTTTCTACGGTCGGGGCATGTGTTTGCTTCATGGAGGTTGGGTTTAGGGTTTAGGGTTTAGGGTTTAGGGTTTCAGGTCTACGGTTGCGTGGATAGGGCTGAGAGTGTGGGTTTGGGATTTGCGACATTCTAGCACTTGAGATGGCAGTGCTTGTGGACCTGTCCGGTCACTCCCTCTACACTGCTATTCCTCCGGCTACCCGTGCTACCAACAGCATGCGTACGAAACCTACCACCACGAGCAACCACGTCAACTATCATCACTGCACACTACATACTGGACAGTAGGTTCAAAGTGATACATACTAGATACTATACACTATGCCCTATATACTGTAAACTACATGCACGCTGCATACTGCATACTCGACAAATTGAACTAAACACGAAAATATCTCTGTGTCTCTCTTACATACTATGTGTCGCGTGCTGTATGCTGCTTCATATACCATATGCCACAAACTATACACTGGTACTCCATACCATACAGTAGCTACTCGACCCTAGAAACTAGATTAGACTATACTATGCTATGCTACAGTATGCTATACTACGCTACACTACACTATACAAAACACGCTGCAATAATTTCACTACACTACTTAGACGGGACTAAGCTAGGCTAGGCTAGACTATACTGTGCTATGCTACACCATTTCAGGACTTTCTCGCATAAAGGCGCCTAACCTTCGAGGATGAGGCTCCAAACCGAAGCTGCAAGGACAAGTGTCGCGAGAGTTCACGGTGGATCTTGGGGCCCGGCTTTCGACGGTTCTATTCTTCCATAAAGGCTTCGCTTCAGGACTTGTGAATGCGATGGCTCTCGGAGTCGAAAGTCCGAAGACCGTTGCGATTAGGACGGGGATCAATAAGCAAGGTGAGGTAGAAGGGCAAGCCGACCGTACGTGAGGAGCAGAAGCCTTGACAAGCCCTTCGTCGCATGGAAATACACAGACAGGACTTGCAAACCCACGACCTATGAACATGCACGATCTCAAATACATGCATGCATGCAGAAACAGGTGTATATCTATGTAGGCCTTGGTCACCATGCTACTCAGAAAAGCCCACAGCCCGGAGCCCTGGCGACCTGGCGATCAGACACATGCCTAAGCTTCAGAAAACTCTTGTGCTACAGTATATATCATTTTGTATCCATTATTTATTCTATCTTTGTTATATTACATATTTTGGCTCCCACTTGACATCATCAGCGCGCTGACTCTGCATATATAAATACATATATGCACACATGTTGATACCTGAGGTCAGGCACACAAGTGTAGCCGTCGTCTTCGTCCTCGGGATCTAGGACCTGGCTCAAAGCGGCAGCCGACCGAAGAAAAATTCGAGCGAAAAAACGTCGAGGCTTCAGAGTTCCTTGAAGGGTCCCTGTAGAAAGGGTTCCTTAAAGGGACCCTTAAAGGAACCCCGAAACGGCTCCTTAAAGGTACCCTTCAAGGAAATCTTAGAGGGTTGCTTCAAGGGTCCCTTGAGGGTTGCCATAAGGGCTCTTACAAGGCCTCCCGTTCCTTTACATGCAGCTAGACCCTCTAAAGCAGACCTTCAAACAAAGCGATCACTTGCAAAGTCAGTAAGATCCCAAGCCACCCCAACATACCCTGAAATACCCGAATCATCAGAACAAACAGCGATACCTGAAACATCCAACACCACCATGAAAACCACCAACGCAGCAAGCAAACCCGTTTAAGAAGAAAAGCCCGAACCCTACATCGTAAATCCCAAGCTGTAAACTCCAAACCCAAGAAGCCTCCGGCCCTCAACTATAGCATATTATAAGTATGACAAGCGATGACCTACCCAGGTCCACCACATCAATGTTACGGCGGATACTTATGATAAAAGATGATATACCCTAGTGACCTAGTACACCATAAACGCTAAACCCTAAACCCTAAACCTGCCTCCGGCGCAGAGTAGGTGGAGGTGCCAACATTGGACTTCATCCTTCCCTGCTCAAAACTGCCGGCAAGCCCCCAGTCGATGACCTGTTTTCAGGGTTTTTGTTACGGCGTTTAAGGTGTTTAGGGTTTCAGGCTAGGGGGAATGTTTTTCCATCACGCTTTAGGACTTTCGGGGGTTGGGGTTTGAAGATTTGGGCTTGCACTTGGGTTTATGTGCTCGAGGCATCACTTGCGCATATGCAAAATGATCTGGGTAGTCTTGGGTGTAGGCGTTAGGGCCCCGGCGTCTGAGGAACTTTGTGTGCTAAACCCCTCAGCCATGGAATCAAGACAAAGGCTTCAAGGGTTTAGGGTTTAGGGTTTAGGGTTTAGGGTTTAGGGTTTATAGGGAGGCTTCAAGTCGGGTTCCAGGCATTCAATCCAGACGGGCTTAGCTTAAGGGCTTTTTGTTAGGAAGAAGTTGGTTGCTTGAGCCGTGGGTTGGCATATCTCCTTAGTCCTCAGCGGCACTCTGAACCCGCTCTAACCCTATAGATGATGCTTCAACGTCCTGCTTGCTGAAGCACGTGGATAGTGGAGACCCTTAGGGTGTACAGGGGGCTTCGGGCTGAGAGGGGTGGCTTTCTTATGTATTGTGAACCTTAAACCCTCGGTTATCATAGCTTAATGATTTATGCCGCTGTGCTGCTCATGTTCACCTCCGGGCAGACAGAGCTTCAGGCTCGGTTCAGACTGAAGGCGCAACTGATGTATATTCTCAGGTTCCTAGGGCTTTAACATAAATGTCTTTCCTCCGTGCGTGATCACATGTCTGTTCTGTTCATTGAAACGAGTGGAGAATATCTATAGAATCTAGGGTTCTCCCAAAACAAGGCCTCCGGGGCAGCTCTCTTCTGTGTGGAGGCAGAGGCTGATCTTGTCTTGGCGCAGTTCTGTGAGCTGCTCGCCGGCAGCTCTCGAACACACACGCTCACGAACCCGCGACTGGAGTTCTTTCTCTATCACAACTCTAAATTCCTCTCTCGCGGCCTTGACGTGCGTACTGCTTGGAGAGTTCTCGCAGAAGCAGATGTTCTCCAATTTGAGGTCCTCGTCGTTTTCTTCAATTCAACTGAAGCTTAAAACCCCGAAGCCTTCCGTCTTGGCTACGCTGGGGATTCGTGGACAATTGAATGCATGGTGTACAAAAGCAGAACTGACACATTACATTGTGAGGGTCCGGTGCTGACTAGTGCGCATCCTGACACCCGTTCCAATCGGTGGAAATCAAGACGTAATGCACCTAGGCTTCATATTGGGGGTACAACACTTTCTAAAACTCCTTCACTGCCTCAAAACACCGGTTTGAGGCGTTTTTGTGGTGAAAGGTCAGGTGGCAGGACCTGGGGCCTAAAACGCTCGGCGTTTTCCGCCCAGCCCGTTGACATTATTTCATGCCGGATTCTCAAACATGTCACCCTTCATCAATGGGAAGGCAGTAACGTCGTACAGGATTTGTTAGTGCTACGGGTTTCGGCGCCTATATAAAAAGCTTAAACCCTAAACCTTAAACCCTAAACCCTAAGCCGTAAGAACCCAGAAGCCCCCAACACATGTGAAGCCCAAATTGGCCCACACCGTCTGAGACCCACCTATAGTCTCCATTGTAGTTCCTTTTTTTGGTTTAACCAGTTATATATTAAGGATTCTATAAGGTATCCCCAAAAAGGAACTACAATGGAGACTATAGGTAAGAAGGGACGGTTTACTTTCTCACAACTGGGACTTGCCAGGCGAGGTCCAACAGGAGCAGGTCGGCGTGACTCAGATTAAGCCCTCCTCGACTAGGGTTTTGGGTTTAGGGTTTAGGTTTTAGGGTTCACGGTTTAGGGTAGAAAAAATACACTACTCCGTCCATAGTCTCGCACAACCTACCCCGTCCAAAACCGACGTGATCTTTCAACTCCCTTTGAAAGACTATGCCAAAAGACCCTATGAGCCACTTCACTCACCCGTACTGTAGTCTTACACCTCTACTTCCGCTCTCCCTGCACCCGGAAAGCATCTTGGCTAGGGTTTTGGTCTGTCGCGTCGTCGAGTGACATCTTTATCGACACTGCAGTTCTGCAGACGCTGCTACACACTTCAAGTAGGAGTCGGTGGGGCATTTCTCCCATACATAGAAGCTCTTGCTGTCGCACGACAGCTTCCCGGCAGAATCCATCCAGCATCGGCAGCCCTGGTCGCTCTTGCACTGCTCTCCCCCTCGGTAGTCTTTGGTGCCCACATCATCACAATAGTACCAGTTCTCCGGTGCGAGCGTGCAGGCCTCGCATTCCATGTAACGGTAATAGCAACGATCCCAGAAATATCGACCATTCTGGGTCCACGAATACCTTGTCGGCCTCGAACCCTCAGGGCATGTCGGGAGCGTGTGCAGTTTCTCATCGGGCAACACGAACGTTGGCACATGACTGTTGACATCGAAGCGCACCCCGCCCACTGCAAGTAGAAACGTGAACCACAAGCTGCTTGTGAGCGTCACCATAGGCACAGAAGGCGTTGACAAACTGTTCTCGACCGGTCTTGACATAAAAGGGCTGCAGCGGCACGAGCCGTAGCCGTATGTAATGGCTTAGGATACAGGATCGTGGGTTTCGAACTACCTTGCACAGTCCTCAGGGTGAAGAGCCCCGAGTGCTAAATTTGGGTTAGAGGGATATGGACTTTCTCGTTCTGTCCTGAGATGCTTCAGGCTCTGGGTGTTGAAGGTTTACGTGAGATTTCGGGTCTTGCCTTGGGGCTCCATGGTTTTGTGAGCATGGGGCTGGCAGAGTTTAAGAACGGAGGGGCATGCAATAAGTATGATAGACAACCACAAGCCTCACCAGCCCCTACAACTAAAGCATTCAGATCTGTAATCAAACATCGATACATAAATCAAACAAAATCTCTTCAAGTCATATCAACTCATAACGGAGCCCTAACAAAGAACATTCACATCATGAACTTTTTGTTATAAGTGAGGAACAATAAGATGCCAGTATGACAACTGTATAAACAAATTCTGGATCCTTGAACTTAGGAACAGTAGCATTCTGGGTATAGTCTATACCTATAGTCTCCATTGTAGTTCCTTTTTGGGGATACCTTGAACCCTTAATAAATGATTGGTTAAACCAAAATAAGGAACTACAATGGAGACTATAGGTAGTATATAGTTGTTCACCTCTTTTTGCGGCGTGTGCCTCTTCACCCGAGAGCTCCCTCTGCCCAGAATGTGAACAACAAACCTAAACCCTAAACCCTAAACCCTAAAGCCCTAAAACCAAAAAACCATAAACCCTGAACCCTAAACCGAAGCACTCTCAGGCGCCGGCGCGGTGCGCGATGCCCTTGGAGTGGGCGTACTTCAGCGCGCTGGTGACCTGCAAGGTTTGAGGTTGAGGGTTTAGGGTTTAGGGGTTTTGGGGATGGTTGTTTAGGGCTTGGGATAAGGATGTTAGGGTATTAGGTGCGACAAGCGCCTTGGTTGTAGGGCTTTTCTCTTATTTAGCACCTTTGCCATCCGCTCAGTTAACATCGGAACCCGCTTCAGGCTTGAGGGTTTAAGGTTTAGGGGCTTGAAACAGGCACACATAAAGCTCTACAAGAACGAATATCAAGCCCCATATACAAATCTACCATAGCCTTTGTGGGGAGGGGAGCTACGGCTACTGGCAAGTTATGATAGGTTCTGTGCTACGAATCCCCACGGGAAGGAAAGGTCGAACACAACATTTACGTAGAAGTTGCTTCGGAGGGGAGGAGGGTATTGGGGTCTGGGCTTCACGGCTATCGATTTCGATGGTCTATGCCGGGTCATTCACCACGGATGTTGCAGTCAAGGTTTTCAGGCTCCTTGAACTCGAAGCTTAATGTCAATGACCCCTGGCGAACGGGATCAAATCTGGAACACCTTTTAGATAAAGACTCCAAGCGGCCCCAAGTAAGGCAGTTCTACACTTGGGGTCTCAGGGTCTCGAAGGCAGTATTTCTATACTTGGAGTCTTAGGGCACTTATGGTTTAGGTCTGCTGATGACCGTCGCCTGCTTGATGATGGGAGCCACCACAGTCTCCGGAAGTGGACCGTGATTCGAAAACCTGGAATTGGGTCTGGTATATGTCTCTGCTACGGGTTCCGGGTTTAGGGCCACTAAACAAGGAGAAGACTTGAAGAAAGGTCCTTCGCTGAGAGATGTTGGAGTCTGGGTGCCGGCTTTGTGGTGGGGGACCTTTGAGGGAATCCGACGTCGTCCTAGGAGTTGTCGGTTTATCTTCCTTAAAAGCTGACGAGAGCATCCAGAGCCATTTCCCCCGTAAGTACAGCAGAGCCGACTTTCTCAGAGTCTCAAGATTTTGTGCAATGCGTCAAAAACTGCCTTGACTGTCGTTGAACTTCGCGCCTTTTTCGCCTGCATTTTCTACCTCGGGTGTATGCGATGTGGCTGGAGCTTATCTTATTCGACAATATGCACCTCCAATACCTCCACAAAGGCAACAGTGACTACACTCGCAGGGGCAGCACTAAACCACAATTCTACTCCTTACCTATAGTCTCCATTGTAGTTCCTTTTTGGGGATACCTCATAGACTCCTTAATATAGAACTGGTTAAACCAAAAAAAGGAACTGCAATGGAGACTATAGGTGCCCGTTACTACAGAAGCCTCGACCTGATACCATCACCACAGCTTCACGTCGCCCTCGTTTAGGGTTTAGGGTTTAGGGTTTCGACTTCAGGTTCGGATACGCATTCGGGGTGGGGTTTAGGGTTTAGGGTTTAGGGTTTAAGGTTTAGGGTTTAGGGTTTAGGGGTTTGGGGTTTAGGGTTTAAGGTTTAGGGTTTAGGGTTTAGGGTTTTAGGGGTTGAGGATTTCGAGTAGGGCTCCTGGTTCAGTGGGCTCGGGCTTAGGGTTGGCAGGCTCCTGAAGGGTTGAGGGCTTAGAAGGCTTAGAGTCTAAACTAGAGAAGCCTAATCCATCCTGATTCCCCTATGAAGTCGTTGAGCTTATTCATTGGTTGCTTAAGCAGGGTCAACATGCTCAATAAACCAATTAACAACCCCCAACGACTTTAAAGGGGATCATTGTTCAAATCCTTCTAGCTGCAACCGGACTCCGAACAGACCTAATCGAAACACCAACTTCTCCACAAACATCACCGAAATCCTCTTCTGGGTGCTCTCCAGACAACGATCGCTGCGAACAAACAAAAACTTAAATTCGAAAGATAAACATGTGCTGGAAGTTAGAGTGCATGTAACGTAAAAACCAGGCCCCCCTGTCATCCCACACAGAATGCTTGGTGGACGCTCCTCCCCCCGGCTTGATGTGTGGTGGGGTTCGCTGAGGCTTACTTGGGGTTCCTGGTAGTACCAACATGGATCGTGAACGTTCCTTCCCCCTAAGCTTCAGGGCTTCGGGAGAGGGAGTCTGGGTGCACAGGTTTGGATCGTGGGCTCCTGGCCTCCCATGGTATGCACTTGGGTGCGGCAGTGACAGCGGTGTGCGGGGAGTGGGGTTCGGCGAACCGAGTGCCTGGATCTCGTTCGCTGGTTTATGCATGTATGCATGTGTGCGTGCTTCGTGTTGGGAGGACAATCGGAGTAAATTTAGTTAACAAGTGTCGATGTTTCGGGACGTGTTCTCTCTTGACACTCTGCTCTTCCAAAACCTGGAAGTTCCAAAGACTTCGTAGTGTGACCGGTTGGATCAGCCAGAGAAACAGGCAAAAAGAGCTTGAAAGCCCAGGGTACCCATGTCTCCTCAACTCCGTCCTCTTCCTGCCCTACGAGGTCGCACAGAACCGAAAAAGTTTCAACCTCCTTCCGGGCAGCCCAACTGGCTAAGCGGCTAAACTCTACACCCTCTTCCCAGCGGTCTTTGCGAATAAAGCCCTAGCGTAAGCGAGGATACCTCTTTAGGATGTAGGGTTTAGGTTTATGGACTCTACATCTGTGATTCTTGGGACCCACCGAGCCTGTCAAAGAGGTCCCCGCCCTCGCAGAACTCGATCACGAAGTACATCACGCGCCCCTGCATATTAATGCAGATGTATATATATATATATATATGTATGTATATGTATATATATATATATATACATCTATATATTGATTCATAGACACATACACCGATATACCCAAGTGCGTGTACTGCGCACGCACACACCTAGATACCTTGCATTGCATTCATTGCGTTGCGTTACATTACATTTACATTTACATTTACATTTACATTTACGTTACATGTAAACTGCATTTACGTTGCATTTAAATTACATTTACATTTACATTCCATTACATTACAAACACATACACACACATACATACATACATACACACACACACGCACACACATCCAACCATCCATCCATCCATCCATCCATCCATCCATCCATCCATCCATCCATCCATCCATCCATCCGTCCATCATCCGTCCATCCATGCATGCATGCATACA